AAAAAAAAAAAAAATTAAAGGAAACTTCTTTAGTAGAAAAAAATCTGAGCTTTGGCTTTTTGGCCATGAGGTTATTTTAGATACTTGATTAATTACTAACTCTCAGGTAGCTTCTTACCTTTGGAGAGAAATAGTTATATCTAAGACAGGAAACAGTTTTAGAGCAGCCCTTGGAGGAATCACATGGTCAGATTGGTGAGGCATGCCATGTATAATTACAGATAGCCCAGTAAGTTTGTTCTGTAATTTAGTAGAAAGCTATTAAATATGAAAATAAGGAAAATTAGATTCCTTCATAATTGTGTTTAACATGAGAGAAAATGATTAGTTGTAAGTTAATCCTACTAATTTGCCAAACATCTTGGGAAGAAACAAAACTGATGCTGCTTATCTCTCTTTCCCCTTAACTGAGCAGGAGGATCGTTTGAAGATCGATGTGATTGACTGGCTGGTGTTTGACCCAGCACAGAGGGCAGAAGCCCTGAAACAAGGCAATGCCATCATGAGAAAGTTCTTGGGTATGCTGTACTTTATGTATGTTTTTAAAGTTTCTATTCAAATTCATATATTATTTGTGTGTGTGTGTGTGCCCTTGGTAGAGTGCTGTGACATCACAGCTCACAGCAACCTCCAGCTCTTGGGCTTAGGCGATTCTCTTGCCTCAGCCTCCTGAGTAGCTGGGACTATAGGAGCCCGCCGCAAGGCCCATCTTATTTTTTTGTTGCAGTTTGGCCAGGGCCAGATTTGAACCCGCCACCCTCGGTATATGGGGCTGGTGCCCTACTCCCTGAACCACAGGTGCTGCCTTATCTTTTTTTTTTGAGACAGAGCCTCAAGCTGTCTCCCTGGGTAGAGTGCTGTGGCATCACAGCTCATAGCAACCTCCAACTCCTGGGCTTAAGTGATTCTCTTGTCTCAGTCTCCCAAGTAGCTGGGACTACAGGTGCCCACCACAATACCTGGCTCTTTTTCGGGTATAGTTGTCATTGTTGTTTGGCAGGCCTGGGCTGGATTCGAACCCACCAGCTCTGGTGTATGTGGCTGGCACCTTAGCTGCTTGAGCTGTAGGCGCTAAGCCAAATCCATATTTTTTTTTTTTTTGGGTAGAATGCTGTGGCATCATAGCTCACAGCAACCTCCAACTCCTGGGCTCAAGCAATTCTCCTGCCTCCACCTCCCAAGTAGCTGGGACTACAGGCGCCTGCCACAACGCCTGGCTATTCTTCAGTTGCAGCTGTTGTTGTTTGGCAGGCCGGGCTGGATTTGAACCCACCAGCTCTGGTGTATGTGGCTGGCGCCTTAGCTGCTTGAGCTATAGGTGCTGAGCCAAATCCATATATTTTTAAATTTTGTTTAGGTTTTTGTTTTTTAGATCTCCCACTGGGAGAAGAAAAGCACTATTCAAACATGAAAACATGTTTAACAGTAAATTTTCATTGTCCTGATCAATTTTACATACAATCCAAAATGTACCTGCTTTCTTTAGGACATAGCTGTATGTAAAAGTAGTCGTTCTTTTGTGTTACTGTCATACTGAGATAGTAACACACTCCATTGGGTAGAAAGACCACAAAGACCCTTAACAGAAGTGCCTTGGACCTGACACAGTTAAATAGCTCACTGTAAAAGCTGTAACTCAGTGTTTTGACTCCTTTAGAAATCACAAAAGTCCACATATGTTGAAAATTATGTATCTTTTTTTCACAGCATCAAAAAAGCATGAAGCTGCAAAAGAGGTGTTTGTGAAGATTCCTCAGGACTCTATAGCAGAGATTTATAATCAGTGGGAGGAACAAGGCATGGAAAGCCCACTTCCTGCTGAAGATGACAACGCCATCAGAGAGCACCTGTGCATTAGAGCTTACCTGGTGAGGGGAGAGCAACGGGGGTGCGCCCGTCTTCGTGATGATGTCTCAGATTGACCCTCAGCGCATGTGCTTTTTTTCCAGAAGTAGGGCTGATTTATCTTAACTGCCTTGTGGGTTTAGTGCTCGCTGATCCACAAGGAGGGGAAAGTCATGGCCTTGACACCATCAGCATGACCTAATCAGTGCTGACCAGCAAAGATGGGTTCGCACAGTAGATGGTGTGTGCGATGTCTATGACTTACCTTTTCATAAGATACTTTTAATGTTTGTCTCAATTGTAATATTTCTGGTTTGGGCAATAACTGAGAAAAGTAAGAGATTCTAGGTTTGCTATGACAATTGTGAATTATGCTCATTCGCAATTCATTTTATAAATAGTCAGGTTGGCTCGGCGTCTACAGCACAGTGGTTATGATGCCAGCCACATACACCAAAGGTGGCAGGTTCAAACCCGGCCTGGGCCAGCTAAGCAATAATGACAACTGCAACAAAAAATAACTGGGTGTTGTGGTGGGTGCCTATAGTGCCAGCTATTTGGGAGGCTGAGGCAAGAGAATCGCTTAAGCGCAAGAGTTTGAGGTTGCTGTGAGCTGTGACACTACAGTACTCTACTGAGGGTGATGCAATGAGACTCTGTCTCAAAAAAAAAAAATGAAAAATAAATACCAAACAGTTTTATTTCTTTTTGTTTTGTTTGTTTTTTGAGACAGTCTTACTCTGTTGCTCAAGGCTAGAGTGTTGTGACATCACAGCTCACAGCAACCTCACATTCCTGGGCTTAAGCCATCCTCCTGCCTCAGCCTCTGGAGTAGCTGGGACTACAGGCACCCACCAGAACGCCTGCTAATTTTTCTGTTTTTAGCTCTTGCTCAGGCTGGTCTCAAACTCCTAAGCTCAATGGTTCCTCCCACCTCGGCCTCCCAGAGTGCTGGGGTAACAGGCAGGTATGAGCCACCGCACCCAGCCAACAGTTTTATTTCTTGGTGCTGCACAATTATTTTCTTTTTCTGGTGCGAAATTATTTCTAAGAACCAATCATAAAGGCATTCTTGAACAATAACAGTGACAACACTTTTTCTTTTTTTTCTTTTTTTTGAGGCAGAGTCTCACTATGTTGCCCTCAGTAGAGTGCCGTGGCTTCACAGCTCCCAGCAATCTCAAACTCTTAGGTTTGAGTGATTGTCTTGCCTCAGCCCCAGAAGTAGCTGGACCTACAGGCACCCACCACAATGCCCTATTATTTTTTGTTATTGTCATTGTTGTTTAGCTGGCCCGGGCCAGGTTCAAACCCACCAGCCCTAGTGTATGTGGCTGGCGCCCTAGCTACTGAGCTACACTGAGCACTGAGCTGAAAACTCTTATTTCTTATTTTTTGTTGTTGTTGTTTATTTTTCAGTGTAACAAAGAGAAGTTTGAGAACAAAGGGAAAGTTTAGAGCAGTTCTAGAGAGCTGGAAGCAGGTGCCTCTTTGTGAAGAAATGACACAGACCTGATTTGCTATTTTGTATGTTTTTATTCTCTTACATTTTAGGAAGCCCATGAAACTTTTAATGAGTGGTTCAAGCACATGAATTCAGCACCACAAAAACCTACTTTGATGGCTCAGCCAACTTTTACTGAGAAAGTAGCTAACGAGCACAAAGAAAAGAAATATGAAGTAAGTTGCATGTGCATCTGGGACACACCTGGGCATCTAAAAATGTATGTTACATGTTTAAAGAGGTCATTTCTTGAGTAGCTATTTTTATTTTATTATTTTTGAGACAGAGTCTCAGTTTGTTGCCCTTGGTAGAGTGCCATGGCGTCATAGCTCACAGCAACCTCAAACTCTTGGGCTTAAGTGAGTCTCTTGCCTCAGCCTCCCAAGTAGCGGAGACTATAGGCACCTGCCACAACACCTGGCTATTTTTAGAGGTAGGGTCTCTCTTTTGCTCAGCCTGTTCTCAAACTCCTGACTGAGCTCAAGTGATGCACCCACCTCGACCTCCCAGAGTGCTGGGATTACAGGTGTGCGCCACCACGCCCGGCCTATATTTCTGTTATAACAAGTAGCCTTCCTGTGAATGTTTTGCTTAGAAGAAATTGCTCTGCTTAGTCCCTGTTCTGTAAGCAGTTAACCAAACATGAAATACCTTCAGGTGACATTAACTAGCATTCGTTAACAAAGTTAACATTCTAGTGTTTTGTTTAACTAGAGTCTATTGATATTTATTTTTGTATTTGGCAAACTGAAACATCAGCTCTTCAAAATGATGTTCCTGTTGTATATTCTTGTCTGTGCTTGAGAAAGACATTATTTACTGGGTTCTGTCCATTACATGTCTGCCTTCTGTTTGTTTTGCAGATGGATTATGGTATTTGGAAAGGGCATCTGGATGCCCTAACTGCTGATGTGAAAGAGAAAATGTATAACGTCTTGTTGTTTGTTGATGGAGGGTGGATGGTGGATGTTAGAGAGGTAAGCTGTGAGTGCTGTTTGTAGCTAAAACCAAGCAAACACTGTCTTCTTCTAATGCTCTGTCTCTGAGTAGTAGCATCGACAGATTTTGTATAATCTTCATAGTCATACACAGACATCTTGTATTAAGCTAAACTGAAAAGACTAGTTAGGAAATAGGAATATTTGATTCTTGGGTAAACTATCACTTCACATTTAAATTAAGTGTGAGGATTTTCTTTTTTTTTTTTTTTTTTTTTTTTGAGACGGAGCCTCAAGCTATCCCCCTGGGTAGAGTGCCATGGCATCACGCTCACAGCAACCTCCAACTCCTGGGCTCCAGCGAGTCTCCTGCCTCAGCCTCCCAAGTAGCTGGGACCACAGGCGCCCACCACAACGCCTGGCTATTTTTTGTTTGCAGCCGTCATTGTTGTTTGGTGGGCCCAGGCTGTGTTCGAACCTGCCACCTTAGGTGTATGTGTCTGGCGCCTTAGCCACTTGAGCCACAGACGCTGAGTCTGTTTTTGTTTTTTAAAGACAGTCTCACTCTGTCACAACTCACAGCTACCTCAGACTCCTGGGCTCAAGAGATCCTACATACACCCACCATCACGCTGGCTGGTTTTTCTATTTTTAGTAGAGACGTGGTCTCACTCTTGTTCAGGCTGATCTCAAACTCCAGAGTTCAAAGGATCCTCCCGTCTTGGGCTCCAGGAGTGTTGAGGTTAGAGACATGAGCTACCACACGTGGCCCCTAAAGTTAGATTTTCATACTAAAATCTAGTTTTTTAACATTCTGTACCTAAAAATTTAATGAGACGTGTATTTGTATCTGGGTACCCTTTCTTCTGCCATTTCTCATATCCTCATCTGTTTAGTACTTTCTAATTTTAGCCACTTTTTGTTTTGTTTTTTGTTTTTGTTTGAGACAGAGTTTCAAGCTATTGCCCATAGAGTTTTATGGCGTCATAGCTCACAGCAACCTCCAACTCAGGCTCAAGTGATCCTCTGGACTCAGTTTTTGGCCAGGGCTGGGTTTGAACCTGCCACCTTCAGCATATGGGACCAGTGCCCTACTCTTTTGAGCTTCAGGCACCACCCAGTTTTTCTATTTTTAATAGAGAAGGGTCTCGCTTTTGCTCAGGCTGGTTTCGAACTGGCAAGTTAAAGGAATCCACCTGCCTCTGCCTCCCAGAGTGCTAGGATTACAGGCATGAGCCACCGCACCTGGCCCACTATTTTGTTTTTTATAAACCCCTCTGAGCAGAATCAAAAAGCAATAGAGACAGACAACTAGGTTTGAGCCCCTATTTGCTGCTGTTATTAATACTTATCTTAAAAGTCTCCACTTTTCATCCTAAACTTCATAATGTAACTCCCCTGATTAGCTTTAAACCTTCAGCAGGCTCCTCAGACTATACCTTTCCGGATCATGTTAGTACTCATGAAGATAGCAGAGTGCCAGTTAAGTGTGACCTACGTTTTGAAAAGACTTAATGACTTATTTATGCATAAATCTTGGTTATTCTAATTATTAATTTCAGTGACTAGGTAATTAAGGTCACAGAGTAGACAGTCTGGAGTCTCATAAAAATGGAGTTGAGGCGGAAGATGATGAGTGACACCTGGTCTGTTCCATCATGCACTTAAAACCAATATTCAGTCCCAGTCATTTCTTTAAAAAGCGATGTCTTGACCATTAAGTGATATATGTGATGTGTTAATCACCTCTATTGAGTTTAGCTTAATACTCTGAAGTACTCAGCGAAGCAGGGAGCGTTTCATGGCCCTGCCAGCATGCACATCCACATGTATGAATGGGGGCACCGTGCCCCTTCCCTCATGGGGGCCCATGCCGAGCATGCCTGGCAGGTGCAGTGCAGCGTGCACGGGGGCTCAGCCCCACCTGCTGGTCTGGCCCGCTGCCCTGGACCACACAATGCCTGGATGTGGCTGGCATTTTGTGCTGCTTTATACCACTGTACTTGAAGTTTTTAAGTTAGTGTTGGAGGCTGGTAGCACAGGCGGGTGACGGGAACTGGTGACAGAGGAGGTGAGCCGGGAGGTCATCTTCACCACCTTCTCCACTGCACTGCCTCGTCCCCAGCACAACCCAGCCCAGGCTCCCCTACCCCTCCCTGGCTTCCCACTCTCCTTTATGTAGATAATCCCTTCCTCAGGTGGGTCAGCTAGTTATCCTTTTAAAATGAAACACATCTCATGTCCTGCCCAGAATGTTCTGATAGCTTCATTACACTTTGAAGAAAATCCATCATTCTTTACACACGAGACCACACATACACTTTTTGGTTTTGGGGGGGTTTTTTTGAGACAGTCTCAAGCTATCACCCTGGATAGAATGTTATGGTGTCACAGCTCACAGCAACCTCAAACTCTTGGGCTTACACGATTCTCTTGCCTCAGCCTCCCAAGTAGCTGGGACTACAGGTGCCCACCACAACATCCAACTATTTTTTGGTTCTAGGTGTCATTGTTTGGCAGGCCTGGGCTGGATTCAAACCCCCAGCTCCTGTGTATGTGGCTGGCGCCCTGGCCACTTGAGCTGTAGGTGCCGAGCTACACTTTTTTTTTTGAGACAGAGCCTCAAGCTGTCACCCTAGGCAGAGTGTTGTGGCATCACAGCTCACAGCAACCTCCACCTCCTGGGCTCAAGCGAGTCTCCTGCTTCTGCCTCCCAAGTAGCAGGGACTACAGGTGCCTGCCACAATGCCTGGCTATTTTTTGGTTGCAGCCGTCGTTGTTGTTTGGTGGGCCCTGGCTGGATTCGAACCCGCCAGCTCAGGTGTATATGGCTGATGTTTTAGACATTTGAGCCACAGGTGCCAAGCCAGGCAATTCTCTTTCCTCAGCCTCCCAACTAGCTGGGACTATAGGCACCCACCACAATGCCTGGCTATTTTTTTTTTTGGTTGTAGTTGTCATTGTTGGCAGGCGCAGGCTGGATTTGAACCCGCGAGCTCTGGTTAATGTGTCTGGCACCTTAGTCACTTGAGCTACAGGTGCCGAGCCTACCCCCTCATCTTGTATCCTGCTACTCTCCTTCTAGCCATCTGGGCCTCTGTCCATTTTCTGCCTGGAATACTTTTCTCCTACGGATGACTTTCCTTCAGGCAGTCTGCTCCAGCGCCACCTCCCTCCCGCCCCAGCCGCCCCGTCTTGATCGGCATACACACCGGGTAGAGTTGACCGGTGTGGGTCCACTCACACATGGATTTCTTTTCAAACAAACTCAGATCAAAAATGCAGTATTTGCAGGATGTGAACTGTGTATGTGGAAGGCCGTTTTTCTCTTACGCATGGGTTCCACAGCAGATGTGAGACTTCAGTTTGCATGGATTTGGGGGGGTGTTCTGGACCAGCTCCCCGTTTATACCAGGGAACAGCTAGACACACACACCTGTTGCTTTCTGTCTCCTTGTTCTGCTTTCATTTTCTTCATAGTACTCAACAGAATCTGATACTAACTTATTTGCTTTTTGCATTATCTATCTATCCCCATTAGAATGTGCCAGGAAGGGAACAACCTTGTGTTTTTTGTTTGTTTGTTTTGTTTTGTTTTTCATTTCTTTGGCCCTGGCACTTAAAATAATGCTGCCCACGTAGAGTCCCTCAGTAAATATTTGGTAAATAAATGCTACCTCGTTGTTAATGTGAAGGAATTGTCTTTAGATTCTTTCCTTAGTGGAAAAAATCTTTTTGTATTATATATTTAGAGGATATTTAGTTTATTCAATGAGAAAATACCTTAAGTTTCAACGGGGCAGTTTATTTCCTGGTGGCAAATTGCTGGGCTCATGAGACGTGATTTTGGACTATTGCCCACAGCTGGTCTGCAGGTGTGGGAACAATTACAGTTACCAGAAACGACCACACTCTTGATACTGTGGCAGCAACAGGGTGTAGCAGGAAGCAGGTACTGAATCCATTCTGTGAAAGGAGAGTGGCTGCTGCTGTGAGGAGGGGCCGGGGCACTTTGCTCCCTTGTCACAGAGGGAGGCTACACTGGAGCACAGACAGCAGCGCCCGGAAGGCGCAGTCCTCTCCTCACTGGGCTCCAGGTGGCGTCACAAGGAAGACCTTGAGGAGTTTAGCGAATTGAACGCCTATTCCAGAAAAGAAATGAAGGTGCTTTCCCCTTTAAAGCTAAGACAATGAAAAGCGTGCATTTTAATGTTTGCTTTTATGTATATATATCTCAGTGTTACCAGACAAAGAGGTCCAGCTGCCTGTCACTGTCCAGCCACTATGCAGAGACGGGGAGGTCCACCAAGGCTTACTGTCGGAAGGCCAGCGATTCTGGAGAGCAGCGAGAGTAGCCTCTCCAAGACTGTTCTGCCTTTCCATTTCCAAACTCACAGTTTTATACATAAAAATTCAAGGCACAAACCCTGTTAACCTTATCTTAAACAATAATCAGCAGGATCCATGACCTATTACGTTTCTAATTCAAAAGTTAATCTCCTATATCAGTTGCCCTAAACCACTCAAGACATGCATTTTAAGATTGAAGCTAAGGCGGCACCTGTGGCTCAGAGGGGTAGGGCACTGGCCCCATAGGCCGGAGGTGGCAGGTTCAAACCCAGCCCTGGCCAAAAACTGCAAAAAAAAAAAAAAAAAAGATTGAAGCTAAATTTACAAAACAACACGAACAGAAGACATGACATGAAGGTCATGAGGCCCTAACTGACCAGCTGTGTCCTGTGGGCCCAGCCTGATCAACTCCATCTTAGTCTCACCACATGTGCCCTCAAAAACAAAACTAAAAGGTTGATAGTAATTACTTCAGGGTGTGGAAACCTGACCTAGATTAGCCTAAATTGGTACAATTATTCATTAGTAAAAGTGCCAGATTACATTTTATTGTTTCATCTCTCAGTTTAAATCTACCTATGAAAAATGTTTTAGCAATTTAATGGTATAGATTCTCACATGAAAATATTTCTATACACTCCATTAGGCTCATCAAAGGACCAGTTATTAATTTAGCTTGTCTTTTATTTTGTTCTTCCCTAAGAGTTCTGTGGATTTCCTTTCTCTTTTTAAGATTATTTCAGAACATTTAGTGTGGTTGGATACTTCTTTGTTATTTAAATTGTTTTTAGATTTGTTATAAGAAAATGCAGTGGGCATAGAGATCTTCTTTCCTGCACTTTTGCTGTCCTCTGGGTTTTGGTTTGGTTTTTCCTTTCTGATGGGCTCGTAGTTCTGTTTTTGTTTTAGGAGCAGCCATGTGTCCTTAGGAGGGAATGCTGAGTGGTTTTCTACATTAAGTTTTCCTCGTATCTGTTAGTTTAGGCTCATTAATCATATTATTCAGATGTATAGTTTTTTTAATTTTCCTATTTTTTAAAATAATACAAGGAAATCATAAATTCATTCTCCTCATTTAAAAACAAAGTGTGCAGTGAAGTTCTCTTTCCCTGTGAGCTCCCCTGCACGCTGACCCCAGGCAGCCATCGCTGTCACCAGCCTGCACATCACTCTTAAAGCTGTGTGTGCTCCCACCTGCAAACAGCTGACAGGGTGATTGCCTCTGTTCTGATTTCTGCTCTGATGATATTTAATTTCTGACTCTCACTCCACTAGTGCATGTTTTTATTCAAGACATGGTAAGTTGGCTCGGCGCCTGTGGCTCAAGCGGCTAAGGCACCAACCACATACACCTAAGGTGGTGGGTTCGAATCCCCAGCCCGGGCCCGCCAAACAACAATGATGGCTGCAACCAAAAAATGGCCGGGCACTGTGGCGGGCACCTGTAGTCCCAGCTTCTTGGGAGGCTGAGGCAGGAGACTCGCTTGAGCCCAGGAGTTGGAGGT